AATTTTATTGTAATTTTTAGTTGTGAGGATTCTGACACAACCCTGAGGTGTGTTAGCAAAATACCATGACCTTGAATGGCAATCATCTTGATTGCATTTATAAATAAAATAAATATTAAACATTTAGAAACACTAAGAAATATATCAGCTGTCCTCTGTGACTAAAATTGTTATACTGTGAACTCTAATACAAACACTAATAGCTTACAGTCATCAAGTATAACAGCTTACCTGGTGCACAGATGTGACTGCAGCCACCATTGAACTGGTTGCAAGGATTGGTACACTGCTGCTGCTTACTTTTTGCCCAGACATGAATATCCATTGGTCTTTGTGGAAGATTCATGATCATTACAATCTGATCTGAACCATCATATTTATTAGCTCGGTAAATGCTTCGCGTGTTCCAGTCTGTCCAATATATGTGTTGATCAAACAATGTCATCGCAAATGGATGCAAAGCAGTGCTAACAATTACCTCACGATTTGTACCAGTGAGAGTGCATCGCTCAATCTTCTGCCTAAAATAACAAAGAAATTATTACATCTTAAAAGAAAGAAGTCTTTAACTTATGTATAAAGCTATGCCCTAGTTAGTCCAGCAACTAGTATCCACCATTTCAGTAAGGTGCACCAATATGTAGGGTGCTGTTACGAGTTAAAAATCTCAAATTTTCCAATCTATAGCTTCAATAGTGATGCAGAATAGCAGCTCTGTATTACTGACACAGTAACGTACTGGAAGTAATTGGGCTGAAGATTGAAGTGTTTAAACAACTATGTGACTGAGAGCTAAAATGAATGCAAACCTTCATGAGAGAATACACTTTTGGAATGGGTATGGTGTTTATGACTTCTTGGACCGGGAGAAAACCAACAGTCCCATGAACTGGGACATGTTTTCATTTCAGTTTTATATTCTGCAGATCCAAATTTACACAATCAGGAAATACAAGCAAATTCACAAGACTATGAACATGCATTTTCTGCTATTTCTCACATAAGAATACAGGAGGCAAAAACAGTTCTAATATATAATAACCACCACATATAACATCTAATAGCCACAAATATATAGTGTATGATCAACATTTCTTCCTAGTTGATCTTCCAGTTTTGATTCTACCTTAGGAACAGTGTTTGCCATGATAAACAAAATTCCAACAAACAAGACTTCAAGGAACCCCAGAAAATCAGGGTTCAGCTCCAAGTTCTCTGATAGACAGGTTCTGCTGTATGTGAACCATTCTTTACTCGCAGCACTACTGACCCACAACCACTCTGTCACTGCTTCTCCCCTTCAGCCATTCCCACCCTTAATGACCACTTCAGCAAAGGTCAGTGGGGAAGCAGGAGAAGACATGCTGATAGCAGGAGACTCAATAGGCACTATTCATGCAAGGACATTATTTCTAAGCATTGTTTATAAAACAATGATAAATGTTAGAGGTTCCCTTTACCACACAGACTCCTGTCTGAGACAGGCAGACCATACAAGAATAAAGCATGAGAGAAGACAAAATGGAGGATGTTCAAAAGTTATTTGCAATGAGAATAACAAGAGAAGAATTAACAAGTAATAGCTGGGGTTATTCAAAGGAAGAGGAAGAGCTTGACAGAAAAACATCAAGATATAACTAAATGCTGAAAATGAGATGAGGTACTGTCAACAAGCTGAAGACAGTAGAACAAGAATGAGCATGGATAAAGGCTGTTTCTTGCCTCCAGCTCCCAAGATCTTGCCGTTCAGTCACACTGTGATGTTCACATGGCAAGGCTGCCAACCATGTACTGACAGAAAGAACACACTTTGAGTTGTCTCTGCTCCATCAAGTATGGCATCATTCAAATGCACTGCTCTTAATACTCTTCTCTAAAGAGCAGACAGAGATAGGACAGTGTGTATCCTTATGTATAAAGGCATAATGCCTAAGAAGTGGAGTGGTGTTTATGCAACGTCAATGGAACAGAACAATTCTCTAAGAGGCTGTGGCGTCTTTCACGCACAAGCTTCTGAAAGGGAGCTAATAAAAATCCCAGAATGGCTCTGTGGAGGGTTAGGATACAGCAGCTGTGGGGCTAAAGACATCATACCCGCTGATTTTCTTCCTGCTAGCAGCTTCTCTCCCTGTTCATCACTGCATGGCCAATACTTCTTGCCTGTGAAGTCAGAAGGGCCAAATGTTGTTGTTGGAGACTCCAAGCAGAAGCTCCACCCTTTGATTCAAGCCACCAAAAGAGTTCTCACAGAAATACAGAAATGCTCCAACAACTTAGCATTAGCAGTAACAAAATCACTTGAACTTATTTTATCTAACCTCTAAGCAACTGTATGTTTAAGTTTCTGCTAGATACAAAATTTAATTATTACCAATTGTATTTAAGGTATCTACTAGACTACCAGTGTGGGTTGAATAAGAATGGAAACATCCAGTGAGAGAAAATGAGCAGATAAGAAATTTCTCAATAAGCTGAACAGCTCGTCTCCTTTGTCATCACTAGTAGGAAGGGAAAAGCTACATTTCATATAAGCAGAAGAAACAAAAAGAAAAGAATGTTAGTAATTACTACAGGAAAATAACAGATGGACACTTTATAAGGCAAAAGCTTTAATGTGAAAGAACACTTGTGGGAAAAGTGCAGGAAGGCACTTTTCTTTTGTAGAAGTGCAATTTCATAGAGAAGCTCAAATGTAACTCTCCTGCAATACAGGCTCAGGTAATTTCCCCCTTTGATGCCACAGTTCCCAAGTGTCAGCATGCTATCTGGTGAGGGATTCTTACTATGTTGCATGCAGCAACTGTGAAGATATGGGAAAGGAACACTGTACAACTAGCACATACGTTCTATCTACTTCCCAATAGTATCACAATACTTACAGGCAACAGGAGGGGTCTAGAACAAAAAAGAAGACACACTATTCTAGAGAAAGAGGGTAGCACCTTTGGGACACTAGCACAAACAAGAGGAGAATAAGCAAGAGTAAAAATGGAAGACACTATACAGCTCACCCTTGTGTTCCCTTGGTGCATTCAGAGCTAGGAGCACTGGGCTTTTTGAGTGTCTGGTTTTCATATCTTACCCCATGCTGGTATCTATCCCTCTGAAGGGGTAAAGGCCCTCCCCGTGAAAATCAGAATAAAGACGACTTTGTGCTGTTTAAGCATATGCTCCCCTACCTCCATTAACTAGAGTTTGAAAGAGAAGAGGGTGTCTTATTTGACATTCTGCACTCCCCTTAAAATAGTGGCTCCCATTACAGGTTCCCTGCATTCCTGCACACAGATGAACCCAAATAACAATCCCTTCCTCCCAGAAGATCCAATAGAGGCACAGAACGTAACAGTTACTACATTACAGACGTCATAGTTATTACATTACAGACATCACTTTTCTGTCACAGCAAAGGAGAAGCCTGCAAAAGAACTGCTGTGCTGAAGAAACCAGAGGGGAAAGGTCTGATTGCTGCAGTGATTTCTGAGACCACAGGTGAATTTGAATGGATACAAACTAAATTATTTTTAAAAACTTTTTGCTGACGGCAGAAATTCTGGTGGCATAAATTGAAGGGTAGAGTTCTGTCTGGCAGGCAACTGCAAGAACATCATGCCAAATTCCACAGGTGACAGGCATTAGCCATGAGCAATGAATGATGTAAAATATGCACTGGGATTGTATTTGTTAGCGAAGATGCTTATAAAAGTCCTGAGTTGCACGTAAGATGAACAAACTGCCAGTGGGTACAAATGCCATAAAGCAATGGACTAAATCTACACTGCGGCCTAACAAAACTTATCATTGCAGAGTAGTTCCACATCAATATCAAGACTTGACATTGCATTGCTATTAACTATTAAGCAACTCTTAACATTCTATAATACAAACTACCAAGTTCAATTGAAATGCCGAAAAACAGTCTAAAAAATGAGGGAAAATAAACAATAGATCTATTAAAAAATTAACCAAATGTAAACCACCAAGTGTGTTATTAATACATACAGATTTGCATCAGCCCAGTATAGCTGCTGTTCTTCATAGTCCAGGGTAAGCCCATTTGGCCATATCAAATTGGTGCTCACAATAGGTGTTCTGAAGTTTCCTCCAAGTGTAGCTCGTTCTATCTTTGCATTTGAACTCCAGTCAGTCCAGTACATATACCTGTCAATAACATGATTACAAGGTTACATTTTCAGCAGCTAAAGCTCACAAAGCTCTTATCTGCTCCAGGGTATTTCCACCCTGGTGTCCGTCCCTGAAGTGTGCAGTGTAAAACCAGGGGAAAAGAACTTCTTCCTCTGTTTTGGCCCATGACAAGGTAATCTTCTAGTAGGGATGACTGGGGTCCATGGGAGTGAACTTCAGAAAAGTTTTTCTAGCTCCTATGAGAATCCAGTAAAGTCAATTAATCTCTTTCTTATCTTTCTTCATTTGAAATACAGTATAATTAGTAATGAAATTAGAAATACAGTATAATACAGTAATGGCCCCAGCCTCTCAGAGAATGTTTTGATACTGAAACAAGAATTCTTCTGAGGCACTCAGGAAATACAACAGCAAAAGGGAAAGATCATATAAGACTCTAAACAGAGAAATGTCTTGGCAGTGCCACCTGATTATCATGATACGATATTTTTGAAGAAATCTTGGTTTCAACAAATACCCTTTGTTTTTCTGCCTTACACAGCAAATGGAAGGTGGTTAGTTACTTGACAAACACCCACTTTGAACATCGTTCTCATTTACCCCCAGCACCTGGCTCCCACCCTCACTAAGTGAAGCCTCATGCACTACACATTCATAAATATTCTAAAAATCTCAGAAGAAAATTAAAATCTCTGAGGCTGAGATCAGCTTAGGAAACTTAAACCTAAAGAGTTAGATCTAGGATGGTTATGCACAGCTGGAACTTAGGGCTCACAACAGGAAGTATCTGGCAGTCTTCATCAAAGTCCAAATTGTAGTTTCACCTGCAGTCAAAAAAAAGTATACAAAGTGCAACACATACCCTCTGCAGGGATCTAATACAATGGCTCTTGGTCGTGGAACCCGGGCAATCACTGTGCGGTTAGATCCATCCACAGCCATTGAGCTGATAGTCTGATTGAGGTAGTCGCTGTAGTAAACTCTGTTGTTGATCCAGTCAAAGGCTATGCCATCTGGAGTCCCCAGGTCTTAGACATATGCAAGCAAACACACACAAATTCAGTACTGTTCCCTGAGATATTGCAATACTGTTTGCCTATTATAATGTGGCAACGCCAAAAATCTCTTTGAAATGCCACTGGTATCGATGCAAATTTGTCCATTTAAAATTCTGAAGAACTAGTATTTAGGACGCAGGCAGTCCTGTGTATGCAGTAGAGTTACAAAGACCTTTTCCTCACATAGACCTAAGTTCTGGTTGCTATTCTCCAAGTAGCAGGAATCATCTCTCACTCAATAATATTAATCTACTATACATAATTTTAATTTATTACATATAATTTTATATCTAGATAAAATACTATTTAACCAGTTTCATATTTCCATTTCATTGTGATCAAGATGAAACAAGAATCTCAGAAGAGGAAAAAAGTGACAAGAAGAGCCAAAAGGAGCATTTCATCAGATATCTTAACTAAATAGTCTACCTTGACCATTAGCATGAAAATACTTGCTGAGCTAATGCTAGGTGCTACAGTCCATTTTTTTTCAATATCCAATTACTTTGTAGCACATTTCAGTGCACTTACCAGATGCAACTACTGTTGGAGAGCCAATTCCTGAGTAAATACTAACATAACTGATTCTTCCTGTCCCTGAAGGATAACTTTGAGTAAAATATATTCGGTTGTTTATGCTGTCAAAATCCAGGGCCACTGCAGTTCTTAACACATTGACTGTGCGGAAGGGAGGACTGTGATTTTCAGGATCTAGATGGATACTTCTGAGGGCATTCTCAAGAGCAAAAATCAGGTAATCATCCGTTGAAATGGAACACCTCTTGCCATCACTGCCTAGTGTTCCAAAGGCACAACCACATTTGGGTGTCTGCATGTCAGGCAGGGCAAAACACAGATGAGAACAGCCTCCATTGTTGTCCAAACAAGGATTGTTGTTGACATCGAGGGGTGAACGTGACTGGAAATGACTGTCGTAAATGGTAACATCCCTTAGCCAATTAATGTTGTCTCGTATTACTGTTGGCTGATCAGTATTGCCTGGCTCCTTGCTGGCTTGGAAGACTTTTTTCAGGTTCCGATCCACCCAGATCATAGAATTTCCAAAGACAGTGATACCATATGGAGTTGGATAGCGACTGCCATAACGCACAATTTCAACATCACCACCATCAGGCTGAATTCTTGCAATCATATCTAAGGAATCATCCACCCAATAAATGTAGCCATTGCTGTGATCTATGGCCAACCCACGAGGTGTGACAATGCCCTCAGACACAAGAACTGTTCTGTTGGTGCAGTCAAGAAAGGCACGCTCAATCTTTGGATTTTGTCCATAATCTGCCCAGAACAGATATCTATTTTTTGGGTCAACTACTATGTGCCTTGGCATATCTATGGTAGTTTTAAGCAGAACACGGCGATAAGTTGTGTTTAAACGCAAAACTTCTATAAAAGTCTCTGTCAGGAATGCATTTGTGAAATAAAGATTTCCTGCATTTAAAGAAGAAGAAAAAAAAAAAAAAAACAAAGGAGAAAAACAAAACAGAAAATTAATATATAGCATCAACACCTGAGAAACATGAGCTGATAAAATACTAAACCATAAAATGAATATCCCATAAATATCTTAGTAGTTGGAAGTATAAGGTACTTGCCTACACTTTGAGGAATTAGAAAGGAGACACCCAAACTGACAATAGTCAATTAATTTCTAAATCCTCATTGATTGCCATGGGGAAAATCAGTGGTATAAGATCAAAAGTGCATTCAGTTGTTCTTTAGGTGTACTTTTTTTTTTTAAATCTAAGCCTTTGGCTTGCCCTTCCATACTCTTATCCCTTTACCTTTTACAACACACAACTATGAAATCTGTGTTATGGCCTAGCACTGTATACAGTAACTAAATTAACTGTATACAGCAGATGATTATTCAAAAACTCATCCCAAAAAGCCTATCAATCAACAGAACTTTTGCAAAACATATACAGAGTACATATAAAATAAATGTATTAATGGCAATGGTCCGCTACTTAGAGTTGATGAACACTTTCTGAAGAACTAATATTTGAATTAATCTCTAATATGTTTAAATAGGAACAGGAAGTACAAGTGAGGTAATTAAAGTTCAAAGACAAAGTATTTCTTCTGTTTTCTCTAGTTTTCATTATATTTTATAGGATTTGTACACAGCATGCTGAGGGTAGACGAAGGGTCGTTCTTTCTTATTAACAATGTCATCAGAAAACTGTTGTGCACTCTACTCTGGTACATGTTTTTCACTATAGTAGTAAAGTATAGTAGTGCCATGGATAACAGCTACTTATGAATGCACAGACAAGAAGAGAGACCTAAGACAAATATGAAAGTGTTATGAGAGAAAAGGTTCTATACATCTGCTCTGATAAACTTTCATTTTTACACATATATATAAATATAAGAGCCATTCATTACTTCCTCTTGTTTTAAAATCAGTCCATAAACAATCAAGTTAGAATCACAGGACTTCCATTCAAAATAGTTCCATTAGGATCCATCCATTTACGTTAGTCTAAAAATTTTACAGTCTGTAAAGAATAACATTCTTCTAAATTCAGCTACGCTTACCTGCTACCCAGTCAATTGCAATGCCACGTATCCCATTTCGTCCTATGCCATTTGTAACAACATTTCTAAAATAAGAACCATCAGGTTTAATTTTACGTATTGCATTCTGAGAAGAAACTGTGCTACTGAAGTCACACCAGTAAATGAAACCAGAAGGCATGTGAACATCCACATGAAGTGCATTTCGTCCTGAAATATTTTTAAAAGTAATAATTAATTACCTTTGATATACAAACTAACTTATTTAAAACATGTGCTATGCCAGCAAGAAATGCCAAAACATTAAGCATTGTAAGAGTATTTCCTACTATAATGTTCCCATACCTCTTCCTGCCAGTGGTACCATGGCTTCAGAGTGATCAGATGTCTCCAAACTAAATCCTTTAATTGCAGAAAGCATAGAAACAATTACAAAAGAACTGTATGGGGAACAGGTTCTGTTATCAGGATTTAGCTGAAATCCAGTAGCACAGGCACAGGAGAATAATCCACCAGGCACAGGCAGGCAAAGCTGCTGGCAAACTCCAATATTATTACTGCAGCCATTTGAGGAACCAGCAGAATCTGTGAAAGACGCACATGGCAAGACATAAAAATCTGAATTGTATCATCACAAACTGCCGCAGATATATAACCAAATTCATATACTTGCACAGTATTAACAACCAGCTGACAAAAATAAAGATCTTAATCACTGTACATTTTAGCACATAAGCTTTAGCAATGGATTTGCTGGTTTCTTGTCATCTAAGATCAACATGGCCAAGAATCAGATAAAAGATACATAAATTTGAATCCAAAGTAACAAAATTTGTTAATTAGTCAATATTACATTGATAATATTTTAGTAAAACTGTATGTGCCAATAGATGCCTTAACTGGATGGTGGAACATCTCTTTACCAAAACCAGGTAAAGTGTTTCTGACACTTTTCCTGAAAGCCTAATCAAACCATTTCCTTTGAAAGAGCTTGCATTCTGTCTCTGAGGGAAGTTCGAGTTTTCACAAGATGGATATCCTGAAATAACTCTTTAGCAAATACTCACTGTCTCTGTAATACACACGCAGGCATTTCAGTCTTGGGACATTATCTCTCAGTACTACTTTGTTTGCTCCAGTGGACTTGTCAACTCGTTCAATAACTTCATAATCTCGATCAGTATAGTACAGAAAGGTATCATACACAGCAATTCCCCATGGATGAGAAAGATGAACCACCAGAGTCACACGATTTGTACCATCCACATTGCCTTTCTCAATCTAAGAAATCAGTTTAAAGTTTAATATTACATTTCTTATAATAAAAGTTCAATATTACAATACAAAATTAAAATGCAACATACACTACTAAAATCTCTTCATGCATGAAATCTTTATATACAAGGTAGGAAGGAAAGGGTCAGCAGGGTGCCAGTAATGATTTCTGGGTTTTCATTCAAATTCATCATATATTTTTAATGGTAATTAGTAACAACAGTTATTCAGATTTTGCTCAGTCCTGCTACTCCCAGTTACACGAGTAAAGTAAAGTAACTGAATTAGTCATGTGAACAACAGACACAGAAATAGACAAACAGGTAAAAATGCAATTATTAAAAAAATATCTCCTACCACTCCTGTGCTTGTGACAGCCCAGTACAACTTTTGTTCCTTAATGTCAATGGTAATGAACTCTACATGGTCAAGGTTGCCAGTGAAGAGGGTTTGTATGCCTGATCCATCCATGTTTGCACTGGAAATCTTTGCTGGGACTCCACTATCAGTTCCCTGGTCTGTCCAGTACAGCTTCCTGTAACACACATTATCACATCTGTTAGCAAAGCTGATAACAGAGATCAATGGACCAGAGTCACTTGAGCATATGCTTAAATCCATCTCCTTCATCAGCTAAATACTTCAGCACATGCTGAACAGAGATCACTTTGAACCAGGCCGCAATGAAAAAGAGATCTTGTTTGAAAAAAAAAAAAAAAAGAGAAAAATGCTCGTTCTCTTGAAAAACAGAAATGCCTTGAAAAAGAGAAATGCCTTGACAAAGAGAAATGTCTGTTTCTCTTGAAAAACAGAACAATGCCCGTTAAATCATTTTTAGAAATCCATAACCTCCCCTGTACCATCCACCAATACCGTCAGCAGGTAAACTCAATAGAGTATTAGGACTATAACAAGAAAGCAGGAGAATAAGAATTCTGTTTCACAGATGGCTGCAAGGTTTCAGCAGTGAGTTTGGTTCCAATCTGGAATTAAAAGTACAAGTTCAAAAAACCTATATGAGACAGAAATCCATTATCTGGCTCTGGGGAATATGTGCACCGCTCTGGCCTCAGTTGCTGAAGAACACCTGGGGCACATGGCAGCCAGACTCCCAACTAGGGACAAAAAGTCAGGCATCAATTCATCTGAAAGCCTGCCAAGTCACCAGCAAAACTGCCTATGGAACACTGTGATTTTGGGGGTGGGGGGAGGAAGCATCATATTGCAATTTTGAGTACTCTGTTGGAAAAAAAGCAAATTACAGCTCTATTGGGGAGAAAGCAGTAAAATTATATTTAGTGCTATGCTATTTAATGTGACAGTCTTCCCATGTAGTGTGTCTTTCTACTATAGGTAGGCCTCAAGACAGACATCACAAGATATTGTAAAGAAAGACTTTAGAGTTCTCTTTTTTCTGGGTTCCCATTTTTCAGAGATTTCTTTCACAATCATAATATTCCGAGATCCTTTTTAATTAAAAAATTTTACCATATACTTAATATGGTAAATTAAGGAGAATGAACATCTATGCAACAATTTATGAAGCCATGCAATTATTTTCTAGGTCTTAAAAAGACTAAATAAACTCTGCACAAATATGAAAAAACCAAAACCATGTCAAATCCAGGATGGAAGCTGAAGACCCTAAAAATTAAGAAAAACGTGGAGAATACACTCATGTGCAAAGACAACAGCAATTTTGGAAATTTACCCTCTTGCTGGATCAACTGTCAAACCAATTGGCGTGCCAGCTCCCAGAGACGTGCCATCATTGGTAATCAGTGTTTTCCTGTACATTACATCACCATGCAGCTTCAGGACCTATACAAACATTGAACTCATCAGAGCATGTAATACAGAACTTATGACAGATTTTCAGATTAAAGGAAGAAAGCCTAAATCCACAGGGAGCTGAAATTGCCGAAGACTGACTCAAATACTTTGAAGCAAAAGCACATTGTTCCATACTCTAGCCATCTCCCTTCTCTAACATGCACCCCTTGAATGGGCTGCTCGCAGCTCAGAACCTGCCTATGTTAACAAGTAAGCATCCTAGACGTAAAAATAGTTAATCTTTCAGCTTCCATAATATCTTGAAACTATTGCACGCTGAACAGGATGATGAAATGCTGATTTAGAAAGTATTCAATTTTATTTGTTTAAATTAGCTGCCTTTTAATTTAATAGCATGTTTTTATATTTTGGGACAAGGACATTAATGACTGAGCTTATTCACAGTCATTACTGTATTATATATTGCTATTCCTCTATTTCCTTACACTAAATGGCAATTTTATCCTTCACATACCATCAGACTGCTAGTCTCCAGAAAGCTACATAATATGATAACAAAGCATTCGGGACATTCCTTTACTATCAGAGAGACAGTGTATTGGGATCACTGATTTCAAGTGAGAATAGTAATAATAATAGTAACTCTAGTGATCAGAGAGGTTGTATGTCAAACACCAGAAGAAAAAGAGAAAAAAAAAAAATCTATGCACAAATAAAGTTCCCAGTCTTTTTTAAACCTTTTTGAATACGCTCAAATTTAGGTTTATGTCTTCAAGTTTATAAGTATTTTTCTATAGACTGTTTGCATTTTAAAGTAAATCTAATTTCAGTTTCACTAAAAAAAAATATTACTAATTTCAACCTGTATACATAGCAGTGAAAAATCTAGGCTCTTACTTTACAATTGTCCCTCTTAAATAATTACCTCAATTGACTGTGTCCCTGGGTTACTGTAATACAGGTTTGCAGATATCCAGTCCAATGCCAGACCAATAGGAGCACCAATAACAGCTGCTGGAGCAAAAACTGTCCTGTTGGCTCCATCTGACCTCACTCTGTGAATTTCACCCTTGGAAAAAAAAGATAACAAAAGTGAAAAAATGTCAAGAGCAGAAAACACTGTTCTATTCCAACTACATGAGCACTCACTTTATATTACAATCTTTTCTTAGTAAAATGAAAATCCAGTAGAGAGAAATGTATTTATATATGCTCAATCCATAAACATGGCAAAAATATTATTGTAAATCATAATTATCCAGTGTGAAGAGGCATTACTGTTTACCAACCAAAACCTGATCGACAGAAATAAAATTACTATATTTTATAAGGTTGAACTGTATATATTTAAGCTATATACAGTCACACTGCTGTAATTTGTATTTCATTGTCAAAAGATTTTTACCAAGATACCTCAGTTAACCATCTTGAATATACCTGAAATCTAGTAAAGGAAAATAGTGTTCTCTCCCTGCATAAACACTTCCAAGAACCAAATTTTTAATAAGCTGTAATAGCAAGAATCAAGACTATTATCCTTGCAGGTTTCCTCATAAGTGTAACCCTTGAAATGATAACTTATGACTTGCAGATTCTTTGGTATTAGCTACAGTGTGTGATGCTAAAGCATGATATAAACAAGCACTAAACAGAGAGACAAGCAAGGTAAAGGTCTGAAGCGGTTACTCTAGCTGCCTTCCTGAGCTTTCTTCAGGTTATGTCAGTTTTACAGTTCTGCAGAAGTCCTGCGTATTATCACGTGAATCTTTCACAACTAGTATTAATGCAGAATTGAAATACCAGCAGCTATCGCACCTTATTAAGCCTTTTGGAAGAGAGGTCAGTAGGGTAAGGGGAGCTGTGAGTGAGTGTTGAAATCTGTTTTTCTCTCCTCACTAATTAATTCCTCCTCCACTGATGCAGACAAGCTGCACCTGTCCTGCCTCCATGAGGCAGGCTCCCAGACAAGGCAGCACTGGGAGCCACCGCCCCAGTTCTTCACGGAGGCAACACGTGCAGTAGGGTCTGTTCTGCTCTGGCACTTTGCTGGAAAGACAGAAGGGCGCTGCCAGCTCGAAGGGACAGAACATGGAGTGCACCATTAGAGCCTGAACTCTGCCCCACTTGCAGACAGAAGCTGTGCAGCTGACACTAGCCCAGTTCAGGAAGGGAGGAGGTAGAGGCAGAGAGAGCAGGCCCAGGCAGTAAAAAATGGACAACAGGTTGCAGTTGCCATCTCAGAGCAGAAACAAGGTAGAATCAGCTTTAGGAAAAGCACCCAGTAATCATTTGGTCCATGCATACTCTTAATTGCTTGTTACCATGATATCAGTATACTGTCTAAATACCTCAGTGCAGAACTGAAATTGGTGCTTCAGAAAGGAATCAACGTATCAGATGTCAAAAATCTGAACAAGAACTCCAGGCCAAATTCACTGCTGGCTGAAACGGGTAGAATTTCTTAGACACCAGTAGAGCGCTGCTTGCTGAATCGTAATAATGTAGTGCTATTTGCAAACTAACCTGTCCTTGAATCCCTAGGCCTACAGAAAAAAGTAGGAAAGCAGGATAACTTTTGGTACTGTGTCAACCCTACTCTGAGAGCCTGGTGGACGTTGAATATTTACAACAGTGCCTACTATGATAGGCACTTTAAAGATAGGAATTCTCCTGCTTATTATTGACATTTACAATTAATAATCTATGGAACATGGCAGCTGAAGACAAAAATACTTCAGAAGTGTTTTTCAAGTAGAATAAGGAGGTCTCTGATATTTATCTCCATTTCCTGAGTTTGCTTCAAGACAGGGTGAACTAGTTGATGGATGTTCACTTGAGCTCTAACTACAGCTTCAACTGTTGCCAACAATGGCAGTGAAATTACAGCTACAAACTATGCAAGCGTAGAGAAACCCCAGGAAAGCCCAACATGCAATGGGTGGAGGCAAAACTGGGTGTTAAGGAGGAGGCCTTGTGGTAATGGACAAGCACTACAGTTAAGAAAGTAAGCAGATATGTCATCAGAAACTAGGGAAATATCTTTTTTCAGAGAGCGAGCCATGACTGACACGGGTGTCTCAGCCCTGTTTGGGAGCAACAGCAGCCTGAGGCCGGCAGGTCCAGGGTACAGATCAGGGCACAGCCCATAGCCACGCATTTGTCAGGCTGGAGCTCAAGACCTAACTAAAATACAGCACTTACCCACACTCAGCCTGCAGAGGCACCTGGCATTTCACTTGCCAGCTCTGTTAATGGCTATATCAGCCCATGACCTCCTACAGAACCCTTCAACCTCTTGTAAATGTCAGCTGTATCTGCTGGCTGAGGTCTGTCAAGAACAACTTTTCAGTCTGCACAGAGGATCAAAAAGATTCCCGAGTGTTTATCTAGTTCCTTGGGCAAAGGTTTCCTTAATTAGGTCTATTTAAATACTTGATGGGAACTAAACATTCTAATTTTAAAAGAACAAATAATTACATAAGTTATAATTCCTTTATGAGTGACACACAAACAGCTTTAAAATGAGGGATTTTTAAACTTATTTTTAATTCAAAGCTGCAAAATATAAGGGAAACGGGCTGGGAAAAACACCTATAAATCTTGTGTGGATGAAAGGTAACAAGTTAGTGTGAATTGTTTCTGTAAAACATAACTAGGGAAATCTTCTCATCTACCATTATACTCCTCCAGGACCTAAGCACAGCTTTTCTTGAAAAAAGAACTGCTTTTAAGTTTCCAAGAGTGAGCATATATTGCTGAATCAGCAGATTCCTACCACATCTATCTCCCAGACTGACAGAGATTTTTGTTTTTTTTTTTAAGTGTCCATCCTGCAAAAATTGGGAATTTTTTGTGACAAGTTAGCCTTAGGGAACACATATCACTTCTTAGTTCAGGACAAGCATTAAAAATGCTTAGTCAAACAATTATAATCCACTATTAAAAATTAGTTCAAACTATTTTTTAGATCTATAAGCCTCATATGTGCTACCTGGAAATTGCTGTGACTTTGCAACCATTTTCATCATTTAAAAAAAAAGATGCCTCTCTACCATATGACATCATTAAGTGCTCAGACTAGATGTGTGTATTTTCATTCTAATGTTTAGTGCCACTGTGTCCAATGTACTGCTCCCATGGAGAAGTGTTCTGCCTGTATTTGCAGAATTAACTCCTAAGTCAAGAGAGAGGAGAAAGAGTGGACTATAGCAAAGGGGGGCTGAAAGTACGGTTCTGTCAATGCTTTCTGATATTTCCTGTTCATGTCTCTGGCTGAGCCAGAAATAGCATTAATCAAATATTTCAACTGACAAAGATGAAAACTAATTTAGAAAAGAGATAAAGCTTCTTTATCTTGTCCTGGGGGGGGAACCCAAACACCCGTCCCTCCCAGCCCCCTTTCATTCCTTTCAATTGTATTTATCAAAATTCTACCTGCAATGCTAATATATTTCAGTCAAAAACATTACCTTAAAATAAAAAGTCTTATTTTAGTGCACATTTAGAACATAAATACTAACTTACTGGATTTTCAACCCAATAAATCATCTGTTCGGAGTCATCAAAGTCAACATCAACACCATTTTGTACTCCTGCTATTGGAACCATAGCATCATTCGTCTTCTCCTCAGGGTTCAGAGAAATTCCGTAAATTATATTATCTCTTACAGCAATAAGGAAAGGGTGTTCAACTGTGGAAACATATCATGTAATTCAGAGTTGTTTCTGATCAAGAAAATGGCATTATGATGTACTTCCCCTCTCCCACCCAAAAGTTCCCTGATGCTGAGAATAGTTGAATGTTACCAGTGATGTTTTGCGACCACTTACCTGTAAGTTTGTTCCCTCACTATGAGTGAGGTTATCAGTTATTGTAATTGTTGTAACATTTAAAGTTTCAGCACTGTGCAATCACAATGCATGTGCAAGCAAATTCTGAGGAGGAGGAAGTAAATAAGGCAGGATCACTCTGAGCAGCTTTTTCAAATGTCTCGAGAATGGGAAGCAGCAGGACAAAGCTCTGAGGGCTCTCCAGGACATGCCTGAGATGGGTTCTAATGCCTGTTGGGCAGGACTCACAAGCAAGGTACAACGTCACAGCAGCAATTGCTGATCTTTATTAATAAATATAACTGCAGTACTGTGTTTTCTTGTTTTATCTCCAAGGGAGCAGACATACTTCCTTATAGTATATTTACTTTTAGGTAAACTTGTACCCTTATGCTTAAATCTTGTTAACAAAGGGCATCTGGTCAGGTGATCTGAGAAAATGCACTGAAGAGCTGTAGAGTGTGAGTCAGCGACTTCATTTCTCATCTGCTAGGGAGTAGCGGAGGTGAATCTCCTGAACACCAATTCCCCTCTTCCTTGTGCTTTTGCCTTTGGAGAACAAATTCTATCCTCTTCTCTCCATAGGGACTCGCTACCACTTGACAGGGAACTGGGCTGCTGCTGCTGCATAGAAGGTAGCAGTAACCCATTTCCTCTTTTATAATAGATCAAAGACTTTTTTTTTGGTTTTTTGTTTTGATTTTCTTCAATGGCTGCTGAATACATTTATATAAATTTGCAGTGAAAATTTTGACATGGAAAACCACAAACCACAGCATCATTGCACGTCTCAAAAATTATTCTCCATCCTTCTCTCTGGCAGCTGGAACTATTAGTCAAATTTGACAGAAGCTTAGATATCGTTTGTCTCGGCACAAAAATCACCTTTTGGCAAATAATTGCCTGAAGACATATAGCTAGCTCTGCTTGTGAAATTCTTGGACGACTTCCTTTTTTTTTTTTTCCCCCTAAGAATGTGGCACGCCAGTACTCTTCTGTAAAATGTTTGCAAAGAACAGCTAAATTCATGTGAAATTGTTCCAATGCATCAAGACCCTGGAGTCATTATTCCTTTTCTAATTGTACACAGTACA